GATTGGGGCGAGGGAGCGAGCAGCGAAATGCAGTCGGTTTGACAGAAGGCCCGAATAAAACATGAATAGCACGGGTATGATCGATCCCCGGCGACAGTGGAGTTCTGGGCCCCCAGTTAAGAGCGAACAACAACAACTGACATATAAACCAAGGCCAATGCTGGCCCGGGTTGGCCTCCTCTGTTGCTTCAACGTCGGGGCTGCACCTGAACTCCAAGCCGGTGCCAGGGGTGTCACGATTCGGCCTAGACCCGCATCCAAACCCCAGTCAACCGGCGCAGGATCTCCCAACGTTTCGACGGATTGACACGTTAGCCATCCGCGGGCGCCAGAAGCCTCGGGTCTCGAGCGTGGGCACCAGAGGCCCCGGGTCTTGAGCGACCTCCTCCCCGGGATTTCCTTGAGTCGCCCGGGATACACCTTTTTGTCGGGGCCCGTGGGGCCCGACGGCGGACCCCGAGACGCCGAAACATGATGAACAACGGCGGGGTCGAGACATCAAGCAGCTTGAAGGAAGGTGCTGCGGGCGAGCGGCTTTCCTGCAGCACCCTCCTTCCCCCAAAAGGAGGAACAGCAGCCGCAGTTTTCGACTAGGGGATCGACTGCAGAGTTGATGTGCCTCCCAAATCTGTTTCTTTGTAGAGCATGCCACGACACATGCCACGCGGTTGATTTTTGTAGATCGGGCTAGACCATCAAGTGTGGCAAACAGGTGGAGCAGGCAAATCCTGTGTTCGATTGTCACGTCTGGGCGTCGGGCGCCCTGCCAATGTCCAGGTGCCTTTGCCGACGTATGAGACGTGCCCTCATCGGATGGAGGCCTCCCAAAGTGAGCTGGAGCGGATGGGGTCCGAGGACCGCTGGTGCATCGGCGACGGCGGATGGAGAAGAACGGGCTCCAGATACGCCGCATCGCCAATGCATCGGCGATGTGGAGCACTAGGTTCAGCAGGCCTGGAGCTGAGCTCCTCCTCCTCCTCGCGTGGGCTCTCTGGGCCCCCGCGGCGGGCCACGGGAACGGCAAGGCTGGCACGAGGGTGGCACTTCAGGAGGGAAACGGGTCCTGGACCTGGGAACGTTCCCTTGGCCCAGGGCCAATCTCTCACCCTCAGCACTGGTGTGACAGCCCCCCGGGCCCGAGACTGCATGCTCTAGGAATTATCAGCGGGAAGGCGCTCAAACAATCGAACGCACGCCGCTCTGTGTGCTAGCGCGTGGGACCAGCCCACAGCTTCCGGCGTCCCTGCCATATCCGAGGGGCCGTTCCGCCGTCAGGAGGGTTCCCGAAAGCATCGCGACACTCGTGGGCGGAAAAAGCATATCGGGAGCGGCCAAGAGGGGGGTGTCCAAGAGGGGGGGGTGCAAATCATGACCGGCGGCATGAGCGCGGCCCAGCAGTGGGGCCAGGGACGTAATGGAATAAGAAGAGGAGCCATGAACTCTGAGGAAATATCATGCCCCCCGCCATGATATCCACCCCCCCCCCCTAGTCATCATCCCCCTCTTTGCCGCTCCCGAACATACACACCCGCATCCATGGCCTCGCGGGCCGGGCCCCTGGGCCGCGGCCCAGGGGCACGTGGCGTCTCCAGCCCGCCTCTCCGCTACGCGCCTGCCCCCCCCCCCTCGGAAGGTCGGCCTTGGCCCGCTCCCTCCTGGGCTGTGCCGCCGTTGCCGGCGCGCCGCCCAGCTTCGCCGGCTTTCGCGGCTTCTTCAGCCTGCGACTTTTGGGGCTCGCCGCCTGCTACAGCTCCCGCGCAGTTCCTTGGTTCTCCTTGACTGTCCGCCCTGTTTGCTGGCTATCCTCGCCTTCCAATCCTGGCTGGGTCATGGCACCCTGCACCTCACCGTAGGCTCGTCTGTTCGGTGCCACCCCCCGCCATCCATGCGAGGATGGTTATGACTGCTGGCGGCTGCGAGGTAGTCTCTGGGTGGTCGGGCGGTCTTAGTCGCGCGCTTCCTGTTTTCCGACCTTCTACGCCATGTCGCCGCGCGCAGGGCCGCGACGCCAAACAGCGTGTGTATATATGTGTGTGGTGTGTGTCTGTCTATGTGTATGCTTGTGTATGTATGTATGTGCGTGTGTGTGTGTGTGTGTGTTTGTGAGTGTGTGTGTGGGTGTGTGTGGTGTGTGTGTGTGTGTGTGTGTGTGTGTGTGTGCGTGCGTGCGTGCGTGCGTGCGTGTGTGTGGGGAGGAGGGTCAAGGTTTCGCCTTGTGGGCGGCCATGGACGCCTCGTAGACGCCTGGCGCTGCTTGTCTTGCACTCATGGCATGAGTATCATGGCATGCAAACTTTCGCTTACCCTCGTCAAAGTTTACTCCGCAAAGTGTGCACCATTTAGCTTGTCTACATCGCTTATGCCGTGCAGCTTGCACCACATTGTCTGCACCACCCGTGGCTTCCACCACAGCGATTGCTCCACATACATTGGCTCGCGCATGAATTTCCTCGCGAATTCTTGAAGCGGGCACGGCTTGCAGCACACACGCAGAGCGCACCACGCAGCTTGTGCACACCCAGAGTGGGAAGGCGCACTTCTCGGGGCCCACGCTGGCACGCATGATTTGTGTTGGTTGTGTGGATGTGGGTCCGTTCCTGATCCTCCATGGGGCCTGCAGGAGTCTGTGGGGTTCTCAGGGGGACGTCCGGGCAACAAGCCTTACCACCTCCGCCCCTTTCAGCGCCTCGCCCACGCGCGCGGGGCGGCGGGGCCTGGATCCGACTGTGGCGTAGACCGTCGCCATGGGGCTGCCTCGGACGAGCTTCTGTGCAGACAGGGCGCCCACCTGCCGCGCCAGCGCCAGCACCAGGCGATCCAGGCGTGTCAAGAAGTCTGCGAGGGCGTCGCCCGAGTCGCCGGAGGTGCAATCGAGGTAGCAGAACTCGTCCGAGCGCGGCGCGTCGGGGTGGTCGCCGCGCGGAAGATTGGGCGTTGCCAGAGGGGTCCCTGGCCCGAGGCGTCCCCAGGATTTCGCAGGGCGGCCCAGGTGGCCTCCGGAGCACAGCTCAGGAGGCCCAGAGGGCCTCAGGGGCTCCACAGCGGCACGATCGAAGAGCCTGGGAGGCGTCGGCCCAGGGTCACCCTTTGGCCCCCCCCGAGATGAGAGCCACCCTGGACTTCGCCGGGCGATAGGCCTCCAGCCCTCCAGGCGTCCAGCACCCGCTGCCGCAGGGCGTCGGCCTCGGGCCCTCCCAGGAAGCCGTCGCCGCACGCCCAGCCGCGGAGCCCCAGGGCGGCGGCCAGCTCCTCTTGGAGGCACTGGTGCCACAACGTGACCGCGTCGGCGACCCGCGGGATAGTGAGCACCAGCCGCCCCGAGCGCCGGCGGCGCTTGGCGCGGCAGGCCTTGGTGTCGGCGGCGAAGCCGAAGGGCAGCGTCAGCTGCGGGGCGCCATCCTCCCACGCCAGCCGCACGAGTGTCCGCGACACGTGCGCGCAGAGTCCGGCGGTGTCGCCGCACACCTCCAGCACGAGGGCGCCAGCCTGCGCGCAGGGAGGCCTTCGCCAGCGATAGCGCACATCGGGCCCTGCGACCACTGGTGCAACCCAGCTTCGCGCCAGGTCCATGCCATGGAGCACCCCTGCGACGCCGTCCGCACCGCAGCGGGTTTGTGCCGGCGTCCTCGTCGCCGCCACGTCGTCCGCGCTGCTCGCCGGCATGCTGGCGCCCCGCGCGCGCGCCAGCGCGATTGAGGCGCTGTCGTGGGCTTCCTTGGCCTCGCAGTGGGTGCCGATCAAGCCCTGGTCGAGGCAGTCCTCCGCGAGCGCAGACAGCGCCGCCACCTGAGCGCCGAGGTCGCCCAGGAGCTGGCGCTCCACGCCGCGCACCTTCGCCTCGGCCGCGTCCCACTGCCGACTCGCCGCCTCCAGCATCTCCCGCCCAGACAGGCCCTGTGCGCGCCAGGCCCTCGGCGAGTCCGCGGGCGCTGCCATTGTCGCAGTGGCGCGGCCTGCTGTCAACCCAGAGGAACGCCGCCGCGCCGCGCGCACGGAGCCACGGCGCGGAGACCCAGGACAGGACGCACCGCTCGAGCCAGAGTGGCTGTGGTGGTCTCACCCTGATGGCCAAGAAGCGACGGCGGCCCTGGGACAACAAATGGATGACCGCCCTGCACAGGCTGAAATGCCAAGTACCCAGCGCGCCGGCCCCAAGCTACAGAATAATGCTGAAGAGAGTGGAAGAAAGCGGAAGCAAGTGGACGGGCAATCGAGCACGTTGAGGCATGTAGACGCATGAAGAGGCAAAGGGGACTGGTCAGGGCAATTAGATGGAAATGAGAACAATGGAGACCAAGTGGGATCCAATCGATTTGTGCAAGAGAAAACTATGAAATCACACAGAATCACGACGACATGTTCATGGACACACGGAAGCAAAGAACATCGAAGCAAACCAGAACATCCATTCAGTTGAGGGCAGTCAGGAGTAGTCGTGGCACGCAAGATGCCTGGTTTCAGCGGCCCGTGGCAATTGCAAACTGCAAACTACACCACCTCAAGGCAGACACTGTTGCCACAACGCACAACAACAACAACTAACACAGACATAATGAGATAATGTCGTGAGGACACAAAGAGCGCGAAACACAAAAAAAGCATACCCATGTACATGCACAAATACAAATGCGTATACATATGTACATGTGCGCACTCTATATTTACGACGTAGACCGTACACATAGGAGGAGAGAGAGAGAGAGGGAGCGAGAGCGAGAGAGGGAGCGAGAGAGAGCGAGAGAGAGAGATCGACCAACAGACACTTGCAGTGAGCCAGCAGCTCAGCCGCCTCCGAGCGGCAGCCGAAGGGCCTTCCTCTCCCCTCTTCCTCCTGACGCCGCCGCTGCTCCTCCTCTCCTCCTCCTGCCGCCCTCCTCCCCGTCCTCCTCCCCCTCCTCCGCCTCCTCCTCCCCACTCCTCATCCCTCCCCCCGTCATCCCCTCGTCCCCCTCCCCTTCCGCCCCCTCCCCCCGTCCCACGCCAACAGAAGCAACGCTTTTGCAGCCACTCGCGATGGGAGAAGCGCATCTTGACCCCGAAGCCCTCCGGTTGAACACGTGCTCTCGTCGGACACGAGCCACGGGCTGCGCAGACTGGCGAGCGCCGTCGACCGCCGCAGCTCCGGCGCCCCAAAAGCGGGGCTCGTGCGCCCAGGCGTGGCGCCGCCGGAACCCGCTGCGCTCCGCCCGCGGCGCTCCTCCCGGCCTTGGAGGGCACCTCGTGGATGGCCCCGCGGGCTCCTGTCGGGGACGGTGTGGCGAGGCGGCGCGTGTTCACTGCCAGCCCAAGCGCGCCGTCGTCCCCTCCCCCCGGGGACGGTGTGGCGAGGCGGCACTTCTTCACTGCCAACCCAAGCGCGTCGTCGTCCTCTCCCCTCCTCGTCTCGCTTCGTCCTCGTCTTCGCCCGCGTCCGGCCCTAGTCTCTGCCGTCGTCGTCGGTTTTCGTCGTCGCCGTCGCTGTCGTGGACACCGTCGTCGTTTCTCCCTGGCGTTCTGTTTCACGGCAGTGCCGCTGGAAGTGTACTACACCGGCGGCCCTTTCACACTTGCCAACGTACCTATTATGTGCACGGCGTCTTCCCTCTTACCCCGCCTGGGGGTCGATCTTCCAGGACCTGAGCAGGCGGATAGATTTGGGCCCCCAGGGCCTGCGTAAATACATATAGCAGCATCGTGTCCATCAGTGGGGTGCGGTGGCCGACCCTGTGCCCGAAACTGGCGGTGGTTCTGGGAAGTCCGGCACGGTGCCCGAAGATCGATCGCTCCGGCGGTGGCTGCGCACACAGATCCGCGCAGCGGGTCTGTGGCCTGGGCCTCGCCCTGCCCAGGCCCCCAGCCAGGGCCACGCCGCGAACCCCGGCTCGCAGCGGGGCATCGGGTGCAGCGGAGACGCATTCATGAGGAGGAGGAGGAGGAGGAGGAGGAGGAGGTGGAGGAGGAGGAGGAGGAGGAGGAGGAGGATGCTTGCAGCGGCGGAAGGATATCCCGCTGTATTCCAGGGTGGCCCGGGAGGCGACTGCGACGCGGGCGCCAGTTGCCCGACGCGTGGCCCGAGGCGGCGGCGGCTATCCATGTGGTCGGTTTGTTTGCGAGCCCGGGGAAACGAAGGATTGCAAAGGATTGCAAAAAGGCTTGCAAAAAAAAAAGTTTTTTTGCAATCCTTCGTTCAAAAAAAATGATTTTTTGCAATCCTTCGTTCAAGATTGCATGACATGGCATTGCCCGAGCAAGTTTCGCCAATGTTCGGGGAGCTGCGCGCGGCGAACCCGCACGCGCCGGACCCCACGGCCCAAAACGGTTTGTCGCCCGCGACGGGCGTGGTTACCCTCGAAGTGCATCCTCGCAGAAGCCCGGTTTACCTTGCTTGCGCGGCCCGAAAGCGGGGAGCACTCGCGAGGGCGGCAGGCTGGGGAGTGAAGAGGACAACAAATATACACGCGCGCGGGGGCTTCGAGGAAACGATAGTCAGGGGCGCAACAACGACGGGGAGCAGGACAACGGTCAAGGAAAGAAGAAAACAAAACGACCCACTGGCCTGCTTGCGTTAGACTCTCTCCTATCTGTACTTCTGGCCCTAATCCCAAACCCACCGCCGATCCACGTCCACCGCTGCTGCCATTTACCTTTCTTCGGGGGCGCGAAAGCATGGATTAGCGAACCATGGATTTGGCGCGCGGTCGCCAAATCCATGGATCGGCGGAGGTGCCCTCCCCAAAAGGCGGCCGGTGCCGCCTCGCTCGGCGGCGGAAATCCGCGATTTCCCATGGAAACAGGACCCGTCGCTAATCCACGCACCCTTGATCCATGTTTGCGATCGCCTGATTTCTTACTCCCGCACGTTCCCTATACCTACCCCTCTCCCCCTCCCCCCCCTTCTCACGTAAATCCCTTGCATCCTGACCTCCAGAGGCCCCGCGGCCAGCAGGGTCCCGAGAGAGGCGCCCGTGGGCGGAGGCAACATCCGGCGGCATAAACGAGGCACAGTGCCCCCGACGGTAGCCCGCGGAGTGGCCCCGTCGAAATGGCTCTGCACGCGACGCGAAACTGGCGCCTCATATGGACAAGCGCGTTCCCCTACTCGCAGAGTAGCTACTCGCCAATGGCCCGAATCTGCCGCGGGGAAGCTGCGCTGATTTCATCGAGGAGGGCATGTGTGTGTGTTTTCGGACATGTGCGCGCGGGCACCTTGCGAGCAGTGGAGCGCGCTCGGCGATCATAGAGCATCGGCGTTCGCCCCTCAACTCGGGGATGGACAGACCTCCCTTTAGTAAAACGTAGTTTGGTGAAAACGATTTCGGACCCAAACCTTGCGGGCGCAAGCCTGGAAAACAACGGCCACGGCCCCCTCTCGAAAACCGAGAACGGACAATTCACTAATCGACGTGTCACTGTTGGGGGATCTGTCCACCCCCGATCAATCAGGCAGACATCCATGCCGGAGCCGATCGTGTGGGGGCTTGGGCAGGGCGCCGTGCGGCGGGACGGGGCCCGGCCCGTCCAGAGGGGGGGGCGCAGTCCCGGAGGCCATCATCCCCGAAGCAGCACCAGAGGCACCGATTTGTTCGCGCCGCGGACAAATTCGTGCACGCTCCTCCTCCTCCTCCCCCTCCTTCCCCTCCTCTTTGTCATCCTCCTCCCTTTCTTCATGCCCCCCAACCATTGTTCCTTACCCCTCCTCCGTCCTCCTCTTCCTCCGCGTGTTTTTCCTTGGCGTCCTCATGACGCCCTCCATTCGCTTCTCCATCCGTCTTCGGTCGCCCCGTCCCGCGACCATCTTCCTCCTCGGCCCTGGTCCTACACCCCTCCTCCTCGCATTTAAAATCCCACCTCCCCTTCCTTTTGTCCTGGTTCTCTTTCCTATGCTCTGCGGCGCCTGTCTCTGACGCCCCTTTCCGCTAAGAAGGGCATGTCTCCCCGGCCCCCTGGTCGCCGAAACTTGATCCTTCGGCCACCTCCCCCCAAACGAAGAAACACAATGGGTTGCGCGCACCTGCCACTGAACGAGACCGCAAGAATCCCAAGAGAGCCTCAAGCTGGCCCAGGAGAGCCTGCACAAGCCCCCGAGATGGCCGCGGGAATCCGGAATCCCCGGGAGGGCCGCATGGATGCCCGAACACAGCCGCAAGATATCCCAGGAGATTCCGAACATGGCTCCCAGAAGGCGTACAAAGACACGCAAACTGTTCACACAAGTGTACCTCTTTGGGCGGGCATCTCCTGTTGTTTTCGTATCCACCACCCAAGGCCTCCTCAGGCCCACCCGAGGAGAGCCCCCATAGGCCCCCCGAAGGGGCCCTGTGAAGGGTCCCCGACGATATCACATCAATGCGGCTCGGCACGATATCGCGGGGGCCCTCTTTGGGGATTTCTTAAAGACGGACCTTGGGACTCTCTTCAGGCCTCCAGGGCATCCTAGCAAGCCCCCAAAGACGGCCTAAGATCTGCACGCCCGAGAAAGGAACGATCACCTCGGAAACTTCTGCGAGAAACAGCGTCGCCCCGTGTAAAATGAACGACCCCGCGAGGTATAACTAGAACGGGCGCGCCAGGCCGGGGCAGGCCACGACGCCGCTCAACTCGGGCACCGTTGCGCACCAGGGGTGAACTGTTCGTGGAGGCGCCGCAGGAAGGCCCGGAGAACGGGGGGGGCGACGTTCGGGAAAATCGAGCGTGTTCAATGTGTAAGCACTTGTTCGCTGATGCTGAGAGTAGCTCCACGAGCCCCTAAGCTGGACAATAATAAAGCCGGGGCGTATCACTTCGCGCTTCGCGCTGGGAGATGCGCGGGTAACTTCGCGATCTCGTGCCGCCCCCAGGGAAGAGGAATATGAGGAGGAATCGCAGCCGAAACGCGAAGCACGAAGCTCGAATACCTTCGCGCCTTCAAAGACGCCCTTGAGAAAGACAGTAGACAAACAAAAATTCGTAAACATAACTTCTCGGAGGTCCGCGCAGATCTGTTCGTTCGGCGCTGGGCCCCCTCCCTGGCGCGTGGAGCGCGCCAGGGGCTTCGCCGGAGGCGCCGCCCAGGGGGCCCAGCGCCGATCCAAGAAATCCGCGCGGAACTCCGAGAAATCACCGTTCTGCGGCGCCTCCCGTTATCCGAGCCAGGGCGAGGGGAGATCGGCTCCGCGTGGGCCCCCCCAAAGCCAGCCCCAGGCGGTTCGGCTGACCCCTGGCAGCGCTGGCCGCCGTGTTGCGCGCGCCCCGGTCCTGCACGGCCGTCGGCGCCCGGAGGACGTCGGGAGCCACCGCCCGGCAGTGGTGGTGCGCGAGGAACGCCGCGCCCTCTGGTGAGCCCCAAGGCTGGGGCCAACGGCGCTGTAGGTCAACGGCGCGGTGCATTCGGACCCAGGCCAGAAGAACGTCCCTCAAGAACACGAGACCCTCCGCCGGCCCCAACTGAAGAACATTCGAGGGTGCCCCCCCCCTCCAGGATGCACAAGAGCATCCAACAAACACGAAGAACACTAGGGCACCCTCCCCGAACCGACCTAAATAGATCGTATGCCTCGGTCCGACTGTATGGAATCTGGTTCTTGTGACACCGAGCGCTCGCAGAAACCTACCTCGCCGTTGCGTAGAACGCCATAGGCCCGTATACGGCGACCCTCCGCCGTCGTCGAAGTCGACGCCAATGTGGCGCCTCGGCCGCTGCGGCGCGTCAGGCTCCAGGGTGGGGCTCAGCCAGAAGCATCTTCGGCTCGCCAGTGGGAGGACTCCAGTGGCGTCAGCGGACGGAGGTCCTGGCGGCAACGGCCCTGGGGCCCGGGGGCCCTGCCCGACCCTCCGCGCCTCTCTGACGCCCATGCGAGGCCCAGCGGCGGAGGCAGAGGGAGGCGCGGGGGAGGGGGAGGGGAGGCCCACACGGGCCACGGGCGCCGACGCGCCGGGCGGGTCGCAGACACTGCCCTGCCCAGCACAGGCCTGCTGTCCTGAGCGGGCCCCTGCCGGTCACGCGGGCGCCCGGGCCACAGGGCCCCAGGAGCCCGACGGCGGCGCACGGCCTCCAGGACACCTCTCCTCCAGGACCCCTCCTCCTCACGGCGATCCAGGGCGGGGCTCCGCCAGAGGCACCTTCGGCTCGATGGCAGCTGGGCTCCGCGGTCGGGCCCCCGTCATCCTGCTCGACTGGCCACTGGGCCGCTGGGTCCGGCGTCGTCCGCGGGCTCGTCGCTCGCAGACGTGTCGCTCCCCTCGCCGTCTGAGCTCGCGCTCGGGGTGTAGCCCTCAACGTAGTGGGGGCACACCCTGTGGTGCCGCACAACCCACCTGCAGGTGCTAAGACTTTCCCTCGGCCCTCGAGGATCGACGGCACAATTTTTGATGGTGTTGGGTGGCGGAATAATTGTTGTTGTTGTTGTTGTTGTTGTTGTTGTTGTTGTTGCTGGTGGTGTCCTCTCACGGGTTCTTGAAGGGATGACGAGGGCATTTGGTGAGTCTGCCGTGGTTTCGGCTGGTGCATGGATGGTGGGCGCCCCCTGGGCCGGCCGGGCGGTTCTTACACTGGACGGCTCTATTACATAGCTGTTAAACCGTGTTTTTTCTTCTTTTTTTACCACATAGCTTGCACCATATAGCTTACACCGCACAGCTTACACCGTACAGCTTGTGCCACCCATCTTACAACTTTTCGACACAGATATTGCAACACGCAGCTTGCACCACAAATATTGCACAACATAGCTTGCACAACAAAGCTTGACCCACATGGCTAGGACCACATAGCTTACACCACGTGGCTCGCACCGCATAGCTTGAACCACACGGCGTATACCACGTACATGTACGAATGCATGCGTGTATGTATGTACTGCGCAACCTAACTTGCACCACATGGATTGCACCACATAGCTTATGCATCCACAGTGCGATGTCTTACTGTCTGAGGTCCGCGCTGGCAAACATTGTGCTTGTGTCCTTTACGTGTGCTGTTCGTCGATTGGGGCCATTTGGGGGCCTCTTGGGGCCTCCGAAGGCCGCTTTGGTCAGGATCCAGGGCGGAAGCAAAACCTGCCACCTCCAAGTCAAATTGATCCGTGGGTCAACGACGTCCTCCTCCCTGGTGATGCAGTGCCGGTAATGCTTCTGGCACAGCCCTTCCATCGTGCAGATGTCGCCGTTCTGCAGCAAGACGTGCTCCTTCCTCTCGACGTCGTCGTTCGCGCACAGCTCGAACGATCGCGGGGCTCCAAGTGATCCGCCCCCGCGCTGGGCTGCGGCTGGTTCGTGTGGTTTTGGCTGGTGCAATCAGAGGTTATGTACATTAGTTGTGCTTCTTATTGCCCGTCCAACGAGGGCAAACCAATCGCAACGAACACAGCTTCCGTCGAAGGCTGGCAGCCCGAAAACACAAATGTACAGGCGACGTGCCAAACTCATCTGCAATACTTGTTCTCATTAGAGTGAGGTCAGAGTGAGGGGGCCGAGCGGTCATTCATTGCCCCTGGGTGCGTGGCTGAAGTAGGGATCCAAGATGGGGATTCTGCTTGTTGTTGTTGTTGTTGTTGTTGTCGTCGTCCCCCCCCCCCGCGACCCGTCCGCGACACACCCGCGACCCACCCCGCGACCCACCCCGCGACCCACCCCGCGAACCACCCCGCGACACACCCCGCGACCCACACCGCGACCCACCCCGCGACCCACTCCGCGACCCACCCCGTGACCCGCCCGCGACTCACCCGCGACCCACCCCGCGACCAACCCCGCCACCCACCCGCGACCCACCCCGCCACCCACCACACGACCCACCCGACCAACCACCCCGCGACCCCACCCCGCGACCCACCCGCCACCCACCCCGCGACCCACCCCGCGACCCACCCGCGACCCACCCCAAGACCAACCCCGCGACCCACCCGCGACCCATGCGTGACACCGCGACCCATCCGCGACCCGGCCCGCGACCCACCCGCGACCCACCCCGCAATCCACCCACATTGCTTCAACGAAAAAATCGGCGCCTGCGGCGGGCTCACTGCATAATGTGTAAAAGTTAGGCGCCTGCGGCGGGCTTCTTCAGAGCCTCGCAGACTGACGACGTCCTCCCCGCCCCCTCACTCTCATCCGCAACTGCGGGGTGCTACATAAACGAGCTCGCCCAAGACTGTCTAACATTAGAAGGGGCATGTTGCCCCATCTGCGAGCTACATCGGCAACCAACGTACGCATGGGGAGCCGCAAGGAAGCTACGTGAGACACCTCAGAAAGTCAGCACGCTGGCTGGACTCCGAGGAGCCACGCAAATCGCGACAGCTGCGCTCTTGTCGCACCCAGTTTGAAACATCACCACTCCCCTGGACCCCTCATGACACCACACACGTGGCAACTGGTGCGCAGGTGGCATCGCCCAGGGAGGCGAGGTCCACTTTGGATCTGCGTAAGACACCACTCCGCTGGACATCTCAAGGGCTTACGAAAGTGGCGACAGGTACACAGCTGGCAGCGCCCAGGGAAGCGAGATACCATTTGGAATGTGCAAGAGACAGTGCCCCCCTGGACCTCACAGGACCTCGTGAAAGTGGCGACGGTTGCGCAGCCGAAAGCGCCTATGGAGGCGAGTTTCCGTTCGGACCTGCGTGAAACCCCATTGCACTGGACCTCTCGACCTCCAGGGGGCTGCTGTGCCGAACGTGGCGACAGTTGCGCAACTGGCATCGCTGCAGGGAGGCGAGGTCCCAGCTGGACTTGTGCGAGACACCACTCTGCTGGACCTCTCAGGAACCAGCGCAAGTGGCGATGGTTGCGCAGTGTGTTGCGCCCAGAGAGACTAGGCCCAATCTGGATCTGCGACGCCACTCCGCTGGACTTCCAGGGGATCACGGAAGTGGCGACGGTTGCGCAGCTGACATCGCCCGGAATCTAGACAGGACACTTGCCCCGCTGAACCTCCCAGGAGCTCGCGACAGTGACGGCGGACGGCGGGAGAGAGGAGGGAGCGGGAGGAGAGGAAGGAGCAGCAGCGCCTGTGAAGACGAACGAAGACCGAGGGCCAGAGTGTTGGGAGTAACGCGGAATCAAGAACGGAACATCGGATGGCTCGTGCCCCCGCCTGCCCCGCCACCCACCGACCCTCGGCCACCACACCCGAAGCTCGATGACAGATACCCGCGGCAGCGCACCCAGATAAAGATATGATCAGGGCGTCTTGCCCTGTGGCGTTGAACAGGGGCTCGTCGTCGCAGTGCCAGCCGACCACCTGAAGACCGCTGTCATACATATTCGCGTTGCAAGAGTTTGGCCGCTCAACAACCCCGCACTCGCGGAAGACTGCCTCGGAGATCTCCAGGAACCAGCCCTCCATCTCGATCGGCTCCCAGGCGGTACCCGAGTACTCGTAGCTGCATCTGCAGCCGCTTGTCGTGAGCCAAGCAGCGCGCCTGGGAAGAGGCCGCTCTACACCGCCAGGACACTGCCTGCTGGCTTGGACCCATTCGATGCCCGCTTGGCACTGCGCCCACCAGCCCGCGAGAACCTGCTCTGGGAAGGCGCCCCTGCGAATGGACACGAAGCTCCGGCGCACCTCGTCGTGCAGCACCGGCTCCCAGCCGAACTGCGCGCGCGAGAGTGCCAGAGGCCCCGCGCCCCCCCCGCTGAGGAGGGGCTGCTCCTCCAAGGAGGCCTCGTCGTGCAGCATGGGCACCACTCTTAGCCTGGGCTTCCGATTCTTCCTCTTGCCGCGCTTGCGCCGCTTCCTCCTCCCGGAGGGCGGCTCGGCCTCTTGATCCTCGGGGAGGGCTCAAACGTCCCCGCACGTCACGGGGGCCACGGCTCCAGCCACGGCATGCGCCAGGACCACGCATTGAGGCGCCCCGGAGGTGGGCCCCCTGAGGTCCTTACTCCAGCGTCTTGACCGTGGGAGAGGGCAGCGGTCGACGAACCGGCAACTTTGGGCTTCTGGGCGCGTGTGCTACGGGGTACGCGTGGTCCGCCTCTATAGGCCTGCACCGAATCGGCCAGCGCCCCAGCGCTGACCGCCTCGGAGGAGGCGACCACTCGAGGAGGCGGAGGAAACGACTACTTTCGGCGGAGGACAAACCTCCCTTTAGTGAAAACGGCCTAGAACCGAAACCGACGGACCTAGACCCGCAAAAATGACGGCCGTGATGCCCCCTCGCGAACCGAAAACGGCCAATCCGCTAATCGGCGTGTCAGGGTAGGAGGTTATCAATCTCCGAGAGGAATCGGGGTCGCCTGCTTGAGGATGTCGAGTGCACGTCTGCTCCGGGGCACGCTGCCTCAGTGGGCCGCGCTTCCTCAGGGGCACGCCTGCGCGCGACGCGCCGTTGCCATCGCGCCCTCGGGCCGCCATCCTGTGGAGAGCGGCAGCGCTTCCGCCTGGGCCGCGGCTGGCGAGGAATGGTGACCTTCGCGCTCTTGGGGGCGACGTGCAATGATGATGATGATGATGCTGATGATGATGCTGATGATAATGCTGATGATGATGCTGATGATGATGACGATGATGATGATGACAACGACGATGACCATGACGATGATGAGGATGATGATGAGGATGAGGATGGTGATGAGTGGTGACGATGCTGATAATACTGATGATGAGGAGGAGGAGGAGGACGTCGACGACGGCGATGGTGCTGAACACGATTGTGCTGTTGATGACACGTAATGAGGTGGTGATGACGACGTCGACGGCCCTGATAATGGTGATACCGTTGTTGCTGATGATGGTGATGATAACGATGATGATAAAGATGATTATGTTGATGATGATGATGATGATGATGATTCTGATAGTGATGGTCATGATGCCGTGGAAGGCGACGATTATGCTTATGCTGCTGATAATGGTACTGTTGATGATGATTATGAGGATGTTCATGATGATGCTGCTGCTGATTATGATGATGGTTGTGATGCTGATGCTGCCGATGATGATGCGGATGATGATGATGCTGATGATGACGATGATGATGACGATGATGATGATGATGGTGATGATGATGATGTTGATGATGCTGCTGATGATGTTGATGATGCTGCCGTTGATGATGCTGCTGCTAATTATGATACTGCTGATGATGCTGATGCTGATGCTGATGCTGATGATGATAATGAGGATAATGATGATGATGGTGGTGATGGTGATGGTGATGGTGATGATGATGCTGCTGATGATGATGATGATGATGATGCTGCTGATGCTGCTGATGCTGCTGCTGATGGTGATGATGATGACGTCGCCAATGGTGTTACGCGTACATGCGCGTCAAAGGCGGTCAGGAACAGCTTGGCGTGTCGCCGCGGCGGATCTGGAGGTATGCTATGTTTTGCGAGCTCATGGTGTCCCGCTTCGCTCTGCGGGGCTGGGAGGTTGGCGAAGCCTCGGACGGACAATTGAGGCTCGGGGGCCAGGAGGTGATTAGCGTGTCGCGCCGAGGTGTGGCGGGCCAGAGCCCGCGGCGAGACACGCAAGCAACAGCTCACGACTGCGAACATCCGCCACCGTGCCTCTGGGCACGGAGTGGGCGTGTCCTCGGGCCCTCTGCCCGATCCGCTGAGCCTCAGTCCTCGCTCCTGAGGAGTCTCCGAGGGGCCCGGGGCCGGAACTGCCCAACCTTCTGGGGCCTCTCGCGGTTCCCCTGGGGCGCGCCGCGTCTTGTCGCGCGACTTTTTCGGGCCCAAGGGGGCCCCCAGACTGGCCCAGGGGGTCCCAAGATGCCCCCAAGACGGCCAAAGACGGCCTCGAGTCGAGGAGAGATCGGCCCAAGACGTCCAAGATGTTCCCCAGAGATGCCTAGAGGCCCCCAAGACGCCCCAAGAGACCTCCAAGAGGCCTCCCAAGAGGGCTCCAAGAGCCAAAATTATTGGTTTGCCTTCGGTGTTTGATGGATTTTCGCGTTCCCGGCTTATCGGACCTCCCACGCTCCAAGACGGCCCAGTAGGCCCCAAAGACCGCCCCCAAGACGCCCCAAGAGGCCCCCAAGAGGGCCCCAAGGCGGCCCTAGAGGGCCCCAAGACGGCCCAAGAGCCGCCCAAGGCGAGCTAAGAGGGCCCCAAGATGGCACCGAGAGGGGCCCAAGAAGAGGACCTGGAAGTGACAATTCCACCCTTCCGCTCCAAGAGGCCCCAAGAGGCCCCAAAGAGGCCCCAAAGAGGCCCCAAACAGGCCCCAAAGAGGCCCCACAGAGGCCCCAAGATGCCCCAAAACTGCTCCCAAGAGGCCTCAAGAGGCCTCAAGACTGCCTCCCAGAGCTCCACGACAGGTCAACCACGAGATCCCAACCAACATCCATGAGGCCTCTGACCCACCACCCAGGCACTGTGGCGGGATAGGCCGAAGGCCATTAGATAGACCTTCGGAGCTCCACCCAGAGATACGATGTCTTGTTTTTTCTATGCGGGGTCCCCGGAGTCCCGATCTCTTCCGCACGGCCAGCTTTCCAGCCTCAGTCGTCTTGGGACGGTCCCGGGGCCTGGCCAGGGCCCCCAGATGCAGACCACGAAGAAACACCTATATCATGTTTGTTAGAATATGTTGGAGATCTGGGTTTTAGAACGCCCAAGGAAATCGCCTATACGCAAGAGCGACCCTGAGCAATAGTGGCCTTTCCTGCGTGGTTTTCGAATCTTGCATGCGATGCGACTGCAGCGGCTCGCGTGCCTGGGCTTGGGCCCCTCCCACGCTCCCCGACACCTGCACACCAAAGGTCACCCCAACGAAGGGCAACCCGGCCTTCGGGCCACAACTCGGGTCTCCGGCGGCCGCTCTGGACGATCTCGGCAAGGCGCAGCTGATGAAAAGCACCATCAGGCAAGAACACTGGCAGGACGCAACGAGCACGTTCGAGAACGTCTCTCGGCGGCGCCCACCGGGGTGGCGCGAGGGGGGGAGGCTTCTAAGAAGGCGGCGGGTCTTCTGAGAAGGAAGGGGTGGCTTCCTAGAAGCCCGCCGTCCGACTTCCATCAAGGCCTGTTGCAAGCCGCCATGCCCCTCTACGAAGGTCCCTGACTTCTGAGAGGGCTCTCTGCCTTCTGAGAAGCCCACGTCCCTCGAGCCACTCCTTTGTAAGCGCCGCGCAGTCTGGCGAAGGACAGCTCTTACATGCAGCCAGCGACAAGCTAAGCCCTGCGACCTGATGGCGTGTCGCTCCGCTCCCTGGGACGGGGTGCTGGGGAAAGCTTGGAACTTCGACGCCTGGGGACTAGGACGTGGTCAGCGTGTCTCGTGGTGGGCCAGAACCAGCGCCCCGACACGCTAATAGGGGAGCAGAACAACTGCGTCAAGATATAATGTCTCGGAGATCCGCGCGGACTTCTTGGGTCGGCGCCGGAGGTGCCGCCAGGGGAGATCCAGCACCGACCCAAGAAACCCGCGCGGACCTCCGACAACCTATGTTTGTGCTGCGTCGTTCTCCTCAAGTGGTCCACGCCAACACGCTACAGTCGTGCCGCTGAAAGAAGGAACGCTAAATAAGGAACGAAGCCCCTTCTTGGCCCTGTAAGCGCCTTCGCGCCCCAGGAGGGCAAAAGGAACAGCACTGGAGGAACCTAAGGAACATCGAGCCCCTTCCGAACCCAAACTGTTCCTTATTTCACCATCTTCACTGTAAGCCCGTGTTCCTGACCGTCATGCCTCGGTTCTGCGGTCCTGCCCCGAGTCGGCCAGCGCCTCGGCGCCCCGCGGGGCGCCATCACCGCCGCGAGGCGGTCGCCCGCGTCCGCCGCGCCGGCGCCGCGGCAACTGCTGCTGCTGCTGCTCTCCATGGGGTGGCGAGGCCGCGGCCCACGCCTAGAAGACAACCATCCTGACTCCTCTTCCTCCTCCTCCTCCTTCATTCATCCCTTCTCCTTACAGAGAACTCGTCCCTGTCGCACCCCGGGGCTGGTCGAAAGGGCGGGCCAGGCGTTCCGCCGGAGACGTGATCACCATTTAGAGTCCTGCAGCTTAGAATGAGCAAGCGCTTCAAGGATGTAGGGCGGCCCGTTTTCAAAATGTGACTCTCGCATTAGCGCCGCGCACATTCGTCTTGAAAGTGCGCACGAGCCGTATGGATGGAGGGCGGCTCCTTTCCAGAATGTGACCCTCGCCTTAGCGCCGCGCACACTCGTCTTAAGAGTTCGCAGCAGTTTCACGGAGTTGCACGGCTACCGCTCCAGAAATGGTGTTTTGGCACGATGCCAGAATGTCAGGACGCAACTGTCACTTTAAGTCGCGGTGTTGAGTCAATGGTGTTCTGGCACGATCCAGGATCGTCAAGACGCAAGAGTAACGGTGATTCGCAGCGCTGATGTCCCAGGAACAGCGTTCTTACACAATTCTGGATTTGCAAAAGGTTGTCGTCCAACGGGGCATTTCCCTCAGTAGAAATGATGTCATGTAGGTGCTTATGAAGAGGGACCTTTGAGGGAGGTTCATGACGATTTTTCCATACCTAGGCTCTGCCTACAAGGGTTCTTACTCTCTTAGCTTAAAGGGGCCGGGCAGTGCAAAGCGCCTCGGGCGGTTCCCCCAGTCCCCTGGGAGCGGTTTCCCCAGTCCCCTGGGAGCTTTAGCTTTAGCTTTAGCTTAGCTTCAGCTTAGCTTGAGCTTAGCTGTAGCTTAGCTTTAGCTTAGCGTTTCGCTTAGCTTTTCGATTAGCGTTTAGCTTAGCTTTAGCTTAGCTTTAGCTTAGCTTGAGCTTAGCTGTAGCTTAGCTTTAGCTTAGCGTTAGCTTAGCTTTAGCATAGCTTTAGCTTAGCTTAAGCTTAGCTGTAGCTTAGCTTTAGCTTAGCTGCTGCTCAGCTTTAGGTTAGCTTTAGGTTAGCTTTAGCTTAGCTTCATCTTAGCTTTAGCTTAACTTTAGCTTAGCGTTAGCTTAGCTGTGGCTTAGCTTTAGCTTAGCTTTAGCTTAGCTTTAGCTTAGCTTTAGCTTAGCTGCTGTTCAGCTGTCTTAGCTTTAGCTTAGCGTTACTGTTACTACTAATGCTGCTTTCCTATGGGTTCCAACTCCTAGGTAGGGTCGCACTGGGTTAATTTTTTGTGAGTCTGGCGCCATGGTCTTGTGATTCGCGGAGTTGTCCCAAACACGGTGTTCTGGATTGGTTCGGGACCGTCAAGACTCAACAGTAACGGAATGGTGCGCTGGTACAGTTTAAGACTTTCAATCGGTTAAATTCCAGCATGGCACTTCCCTTGATGAAGATGAATCCTTGTAGAGGCCTGTGAAGAGGGAACTTGCTTTTCGGGTTTGCACTGGTCCTCCTCCTTCTCCTCCTCCTCGCCCTCCTCCTCCTCGCTCTGCTCCATCCTGCTCCTCGCCCCCTCCCCTCCTCACCCTCCACGTCCATCTACTTTCCTTACAAACCACTCCTCTCTGTCGCATCGCCAAACGTGTCGGTGGGGCGGGCCGGGCATTTCGCGTGAAACGTCCTCACAATATATGATCCCAGGACTTGACAGTTGCAACTATTTCACGAGTGAAGGGCAGGCCGTTTGCAGAATGAGGCTCTCGCCTTTGCGCTGCGCGCGCTCCTCTTGAAGAAATTGTAACCGTTTCACGGAGGGAGGGCGGGTCGCTTTCAAAATGTGGCTCTCGCTGTAGCGCCGTGAACACTCCGTCTTACAAGTTCGCAACAGGCTCACGGATGGAGGTTCAAAATAGGGTTCTCGCCTGAGCGCCCCGCACATTCTTGCAACATTGCAACATGTTCACGGATGTAGGGTGGATCATTGTCAAAATGTTGGTCTCGCCTTAGCGCCGCGCGCATTCGATTTCAAATTGCGCGCCATTTCAAGGATTCGCACGGTCGGAGTCCCAGCATTGGTGTTCTGGCAAGATTTAAAACGGTCAGAACGCAACAATCATGCTGATGCGCGGTGCTGGTGTTCCAAGGATGGTGTTCTGATACGGCTTAGGACTCTTAGGACGCAACAGTCACATTTACACGCGACGCTGAAGTCCCTGGAATGGTGCTTTGGCACAGTTGAGGACTCTCAAACGTTTGTTGTCCAATGGGGCATTTCCAACTCTTGTAGGGCCCTACGAAAAAATGACCTTGGAGGGAGGGTCCATTGCAACACAGCTGATGCGTCGTTGGTTTACATTGGTCCTCCCCCTTCTCGCCCTCCTCCTCCTCCTCCTCGACCCCCTCTTCCTCGCCGCCCTATTCATCCTCCATCTTCGTCCTCCTCCTCCATCCTCTTCTGTCCTCCTCCATTATCCTCGATCGTCCTTCATCCTCGCACTCCTCCTGGACCCTCCTCCTCATCGTCCTCCATCCTCCCCCCACCCCTCCTCCTCATCATCATCATCCTCCTCCTTCTCATCCTCGCTCCCCTGTTCCTGCTGCTGAGGGCCTGGGAGGCAAACCCCCGACGGGCGTCAACCTCGCCTCGTCGGCGAACAGGCGACGGGAACCAGAGATCCCCGGCGCGTGATGTTTGCCCGCGACGGGAGTCGAGTCGGCGGGGGTTGCGCCACCTCGTGTCAGGAACTCTTGCTTAGCGCGTCGCGGCGGCGGCCCTGGCTGGCGACACGCTACGCATTGCGAGCTGATAGCGTGTCGCTCCGCTCCGAGGGGCGGGGGGGTGGGAAAGGCTCGGGAAATCGATGTTTGATGACTGGGAGGTGGCTGGCGTGGCGCGCTAAAGCATGGTGGGCCAGAACAAGCGGCGCGACACGCTACGCAAACGTTCCGGACCGCATCTGGAACATGAACCTTCGCGTAATGCAGAGCAGTGAGTAAGAAGAAAGCGCTGGAAGATCGATCGACATGCTGTCCTACTACTGGAAAGGGCTTGGAATAACGATCACACAACCTCTATGAAGACTGCGCCCACGAGCATGCCCAAAACCAAACTTGTTGATAATCGCCCAGACAGCTCACTGATACCAGTCTCCACAGGCACGTCGAATCGGCATCCTACATCAGGTGACTGCCGGCGGCGAACCTGGCCCAAAAGTGCCCCAGGCTTCTGGGCGCAATCGTGCAGCCTCTGGCGGTTCGCGGGACGTCGGGCCCGTGAATCATTTACGCTGCATCTTCGGGGGGCCCTCTCTGTCCGATCGCGCCGCTATTTGCGTCGAACGCAAGTCGAATCCGCGTCTGACACAGGAGCAGATCGCCAAATGTATACAGGGCAGGCCCCCGCCCCCGCCTCCCCCCCCCTCCTGGCGATGCAACGCAAGGTGAAGAGTGTCATGGAGGCCACCTGAGCCTCCCCGAACCAGCTGGAGTCTTCTCTTGCCTCTGGTAGCACTCGGGGCGGCTGAAGGGGAGGGGATAGCGGGATAGCATGGGTGGGGGGGTAGCGAACCGGCTGATTGCAGCTGGTTTCTCCAGCGCCTCCAAGCTTTGGAGGCGGTCAGTTGTCGAGGTGAGTGCACGGCGGCGGCGCCGAAACAATGTGCATGCAGCAGATGTCGTAGCATCCCTTCTCCGATCACCTCTTCCGTCCGACACGACTCTGGCAACACCTCTGGCGACACCCGACGTGCCCACGGCAGTCCACGGCGACAGCGAAAGAAGGCGCAGCCAAAAACCGACTGGCAGCGAAGCCGAAACCGACCGAAACCGAATCGACCCGGCCGAGGGGGAAACAACGACGCAACAGCACTGCCATTGCCGACCGAACCGAACCGACCGAGGGCAACCGACCGCGACGCAACCCAACCTACCGAACCGCGGACACCCCTGCTGCCTGAGCTGCCCTGAGCAGGGCGGGTTGAGACAACCGCAACTCAGAATCGATCCCTGGACCATTCCTGGGGCCCACAGGCACCAATTCCTCGAGCTGCGTCCAGCCGTGGGTGGCGACCAGGGGCCAACTACGAGTGTCTCAACTCGCCCTCCTCTGAACCGTTGTCTGACGGCTCCCAGGCCTGGCAAAAGGGCCCCCCGAAATCAACAACTGTCAAAAGCCGCCCACCATGATTTCGCGACGAGAAATCAAGCAGCCTCGTCTCTTTCATGGGTGTGTGGTGACCGAAGCGGTGCCCGAAAATCTGCCCGAGTGTGACCGAAACAGGCGCCCGACTTTTCCCGAATGCGCCCGACTGTGACCAAAACAACAGGTTCGAAACCACCGCGATTCAATTTTGGCCACACTTTTTGGGTCACGCTACGTTGTCAGTCACAACTTCGGGCGCGTTTCTGGTCCCTGTTTTTCCGCATTCCGCAACACACCTTTTCGGCTGATAGGGGCCGGGCACCATGAGAGAGGAGAATTCGGGAAGTGCCTCTGTTGGACCCTATCGCTGCTCGTTGCCACCGCACAAGAACCGAACCGACAGAGGGCAACCGACCGCGACGCAACCCAACCGACCGAACCGCGGACAACCCTGCTGCCTGAGCCGTTGCTTGTTCTGACGGCACCCAGGCCCGGCAAAGGGCCCTCCCATGTATGACAAACTTTCAAAAGCCGACCGCGGTGATTCCACGACGCTATGTGGGGAGCAATAGAAGTACGCACCTAAAACTTGGAGAGGGGGCCTAAGTGAGGAGGGCCAAAAACATTAGAGATAGGGGGTCTGCGTTGCAGATATCTCAGACGAAGCCACCCGCATGTTTAGGGACAACCCCAAACACCGATGCCTTGAGTTAGGCCACGAACTCATTACGTCATCAGGGTTGAAGGTTGTCTCATGCCTGATGACGAGAGGATTTCGGAACGCGCCTGCGCTGAGTCCCATCGCTGCCCGTAGTGGCCGCACAGGGAGATGGGCCCCCGCGAGTGCCAGGCCGGCGCGCCAGCCCCCCACATTCGCGGCCGCACGGCCGTGGACACGGGAGGGGGGAGGGGGAGAGGGAGGGTAGGGCGGCACGGCCGACGGGGCCTCGCGAGCCCCAGGTGCGACTGCGACTGCGACGGCGACGGCTACAGCGTAAAAGGGACATCCTGGAGACCTCGCAGGCTGATTGAGACCCCATGTGCCTCGGATCCACGTCGGATTTGCGTTGGGCCCACGTTTGAACATCGCCGCGCGACCGCTGTCCTATATCTGACACGGCGGACCAGTGGTGTCTCGCCCAAGTGCCCCCCCCCCTTCTCCTCTGTGGTCGCTCGCGTTGCTTCCCATCTTGTTTTCGCCCGTTTCATCGACTGCATGAGCTATTCCTGCGCCTCCTCGACAAGCACTTGAACTGATCCAGCAATTTCCTCACCCCACAGGGCATTCCTGATCCGTCCGCCTTCACCTCTCCACGCTACCCTGTGCCCCATCATTTCATTGGCGCGGCGCCAGTGAGAAGATAATCGCGTCCGACGCTACTGGTAGCTTGCTGACCCCTTCCTTCGTTTCGCCTATATTGCTATACTCGCAGCTGCATCTGGTTGGGTCCTTCGCCAGGCTAATGTTTGAGTGGCATTGAAGAGGGGGTGTCGCCGTCTTCGGGCTGGACCACAGGGGAGTTTGAAATGTGCCCCGTACGGCTGGTCTCGTCTCCGTCGTCAGGCGCTGTCCTCAATCTGGGAGGAGGATGGAGCGGGATGTAGAAGGAAGAGCCCCGATGAATAAGGGGGATGCTTCAAGAGCAGGACGAGGACTTCGCAGGCAGTCGACGTTACCCATTACCTGGTAAAGAGGAGGACGACGTGGAGCAAGATGGGGGACGACAATGAGCCCAAGTAGCTGAGCACCGAAATTCGTCGCAACTACATAATCATGGAAGCCTGAGCTGCTCTCGGAACGTATCGTATGCAAAGAAGGCATGAGGAGGGGAAGCAGCGTGCCGCACATTGTTCCCCAACTGAACGCACAGCACAAAGCATGCATGGGCATGCTGGCGCACAAATGGTGTGGAAGACACATATTAGAGCGCGAGCCCGAGACAATCCACAGGATCGAATGGGAGAGGAGACCGCGCAAGGGACATAACACCGAGGCTTCGAAGCGTCAGGGCATTGTGAGCAGCCGAATGGCGTGACCTGAGACTTTCCACCTTGACCAGGTGTGTGATCGTCCACCCTCGTCGTATGATTCGAGATGGACCCACATCTATGCCGACCGCGAGGCAAATAAAGTAGCCTTCAGCTCCAACCAAATCTTCATCAGCTCTGAGATTGCTCGGGCAGCGGGTTCAGTCAGACACTTTGTTCATAGACAGCTGAGGAGATGAGGTATGGAGCCCGGGAAGAGGGAAGTACCAAAGAAGGAGAGGTATAGGCCTTGGGGTCGGGGACAACGATGCGCGACGACGGCAGAAGCAGCACAACCACGGCTGGCAGCCTAGCCGGCCCCCCGAAAATGCAGGAGGGCGAGGCGGACCACGCATGATGGGCAGCTGGAGGAATTATGAGGGGCTGCGCGACTAACGCTCGTATGCCAAGACATTGCACCGCGTCGCGGTTGGATGTTGCACCCGTTTTGGGCATCCTGGGTTGCCAAAGTCGTTGCTCAGGCGGCCAGAGGGCGCGAGACGTTCTTAGTCTTGCTCCTTGTCCTGGTTCTCATTATCATTTCTTTTCCGCCTCATCCTCCTTGCCGTTCTTCTTTGCTGGATGGACCATCGTGGAGCGACCGTGCACAGCACGCCCAAACAGACGCACCGCGGGCATTGGCCTGGTCACCGGTGAACGCATGCCCTACCTACATGTTGTCTTCCAAATCCTTCTTCCCTTCGGTGAGGGTACCCTCCCCCCTTTCCTCCCTGAGGTTTTTACCTAACAGCTTTTGCTGATAGGTTTCTAGTGGTGTCAAAAGAGAGCATCATGACTCCTCAGGGGGGTCTGGGCGGGTGCCGGGGAGGAGAACCGGGAATCGTTTTTCGCCAACAGTCACACACTTCGTGCCCCTCGACCTCCCAGAACTCCATTCCCGGGCCACATTCTGGAGAACCGGGAACAGAGCCGGGCTCGCTTTTCGCCAACAGTCACACACTTCGTGCTCTTCGACCTCCCAGAACTCCATTCCCGGGCCACATTCTGGATGCCCGGAGCCAACTGTAGGCCACTTCGTGCTCTTCGACTTCCCAGAACTCCATTCCCGGGCCACATTTTGGATGCCCGGAGCCAACTGTAGGCCACTTCGTGCTCTTCGACTTCCCAGAACTCCATTCCCGGGCCACATTTTGGATGCCCGGAGCCAACTGTAGGCCACTTCGTGCTCTTCAAGTTCCCAGAACTCCATTCCTGGGCATGATTTTGAATGCCCGGAGCCAACTGTAGGCCACTTCGTGTTCTTCTAGTTCCCAGAACTCCATTCCTGGGCCACATTTTGAATGCTGAGGCAGGCTGATGCTGCGGCCGAGGCAGGCTGAGGCTGAGGCAGGCTGAGGCTGAGGCCGAGGCTGAAGGCAGACTGAGGCTGAGGCTGAAGCAGACTGAGGCTGAGGCTGAGGCAGGCTGAGGCTGAGGCTGAGGCAGGCTGATGCTGAGGCAGGCTGAGGCTGAGGCTGAGGCTGATGCAGGCTGAGGCTGAGGCAGGCTGAGGCTGAGGCCGAGGCTGAAGGCAGACTGAGGCTGAGGCTGAAGCAGGCTGAGGCTGAGGCTGAGGCAGGCTGAGGCTGAGGCAGGCTGAGGCTGAGGCTGAGGCAGGCTGAGGCTGAGGCTGTGACTGCGACTGCCGTTGCCGCTGCGACTGTCATCGCGAATGCGACTACGACTGCGAGAACAGCAGAATTCTACAACTGGATTTTCATCTGAATCTTAAGAGGAATGCTTTCAGATATGCTTCTACACATCGCTGTTAGGTTGCTTTGCCGGGATAATGTGTTGGGGTTCGCGAGGGATTAGGGCGTTCAAGATGGCCCAATATGGCTCCTAGAGGCCCTCCGATACTCCAACATGGTCTCGAAGGCGGCTTAAGATAACAGAAGACAATTCAAGATAGCTTCCGACATAACTCCAAGAGGTCCGACGATGGCCACAAGCCGGTTCCAAGTGCTCTCGGAGCTCCCTCAGACCCACCCAACAGGCCAACAGCTATCAAACACCAAAAGAGAATCCTCGACCCTTCGGCGAGTGTGAGACGCTGTCGCCGTCTTCGTCGTCGTCGCCAGTCCCACGAACATGCAGAAACGAACATAACAAAAAACATCGTAGTTGAGTCGATTCCCTCCAATGCTCCCCTCCCTGACTGGGGGTGGGGGTAGGGGGGGTCAAGACTCCCTCCCCGCCCGCAAGCCGTCTGGCTCGCTCGCACCCGTCCTCCCAACACATACGTAGCACCCGAGCTTGGCCCGAGCTGCAGCAGATTCAGCAGTCGTCTTCGGATGGGCAGCTACTGGGGGCCAATCCGCCGCCGCCGCCGCCGCCTCCGCCGCCGCCGCCGCCGCCCGCCGCCGCCGCCACCGCTGCCGCCCCCGCCGCCGCAGCCGCCGCCGCCGCCGCCGCAGCCGCCGCCGCAGCCGCCGCCGCCTCCGCCAAGTATACTCTGTATTGTTTTTTGGCAGGGATGGTGGGGGGGGGCGCATCGGGTTGGCTGCGCATGTTCCGAATTTGGAGGCAGAGTGTGTTTTGTAGTGTTTTTTTACAAGGGGTGGGGGGGGTGTTTGCATGGACCTGGGTTGGCCCCCAGTCGCCTGGGGGAGGGGGTGTTTATTAATAGGGAACAGTGATACAGTGATTTAGGAGGGGGGTTGGAGAGGGGGTCCAGGGTCAGACTACCGTCCCCCTCCAAGCTAACCCTCCCTCCCTTGGACCAGGGAGGTCGAAGCCCCCCCATCCTCTATCGCCCCACCAAAGTTAAACCCCCCCTGAATCTCCCAGCCCGGAACTCCCCATCCCCCTGTCCCCCGCGCCTTCTGCAAGCTACCTCCATCCCCCTGCCACCTCCCTCTCTAGAAGCCCCCCCCCCTCTATTCAGAGAGCTGGAAGCTACTCCCCCCCCACCCTCCTCTGCCACCTCTGCCGAACCCCCCTCCTCCCCCCCCCCCGCTCGACCCCTGCAAGCTACCACCCCCTTGAACCTCCCCAGTTGGAAGCCGCCCCTCCCCCAAAAAAACGACGACGACGACGGGACGACGACGACGACGACGACAACGACGGAAGAGGACGACAACAACGACAACGACAACGACAACGACGACGGCGACGACGACGACGAGGACGAGGACGAGGACGAGGACGACGACGACGAGGACGACGACGACGACGACGACGAGGACGACGACGACTGCGACGGCGATGGCGACGGAGACGGCGACGGCGACGACGATGACGACGGCGACGGCAATGGAGACGGCAACGGTGTGCGGGCAGGGCGCTCGCAGCACCAGCAGGAACAGCAACAGCAGCAGCAGCACTAGCAGCAGCAGCAGCACCAGCAGCAGCACCACCAGCAGCAGCAGCACCACCAGCAGCAGCACCACCAGCAGCACCAGCGGCAACAGCAACTCCATCAGCAGCCCCAGCAGCAGCACAAGCACCAGCGGCAAGTACCAGCAGCAACACCAGCAGCAGCTCAAGCAGCAGCATCACCGGCACCACCAGCAGCATCAACAACATCAGCAGTAGCATCAGCAGACGCACCAGCAGCAGCACCAGCAGCGGAAACATCAGCAACATCAGCAGCATCAGCACCAAAGCCAATGGCAGCAGAAAGCAGCATCAGCAGCAGCAGCAGCAGCCAGAGCGCCCCACCAAGAACAACACCAGCAGCATCAACTGCAGCAGCACCAGCGGGACGGACAACAGTACTGGTCCACTCGAGTTGCCAGGTGGAAGCAACTGGGAAACGACACGAACATTACTCCACTCTACGACTCGCCACGTGGCAACGCCTGCGGGGCGAACAACGATAGGTTCACTCTACTCGCCGCGTGGCAACGCCAAGGGAGCGAAACAAATACTGCTCCAGTCTCCTCACCACGTCACAACGCTCAGAAGGGAAACAAACACTACGACAGTGCACTCGCCA